CCGCGCGCCCTAATGACCTAGAACGCCACGTGGAAGAAACATACACGATATTCCCTGTCGTCCCTAAAGCATTGCATCACCGCTTACGCTTCCCACACCCTGCCAATTCATCGCAAACACAGACCCATGGCGTCTTCGCAGTCCAACCACATCCCCGCAACGCATAACGCCTCCGCGCAAAGCCATTCTCCACTACTGGCTAACATGCCACTTTCCACCCTCACCCCAACCGCGCGTCAAAGGTCACCTACCTCCGTGACGCTCATCACCTGTCTTGAAGCTCCTGCACCACGTATAAAGTGCTGGAACGAGTGGCGCGCCTTCTCAGCGCCATCAAGCCCTCCATCGCCTCTGCTCAACCAGGGTTTGCAACGCATCGCCGTGCCGCCTTTCCCCAGCTTCTACACCCCATCAGCCGGCATTCCACCACTGCCTACCACTCAACAGAGGCAAACGCGCACATCTGTTCTACTGAAGAGCTTTTAACGTAATCCCTCCGGTCACTATGACCTGTAATCAAGGGCCATACGCACATCGTCATATGGGTGGCGACAGCGCCGCCCACAATCCAACGACCCCACACAACAACCATGACAAAGCAGCACCACACGCTGCTTACGTCAGCAAATACTCATTTGCCGCAACATCCGAACGCGTCCACGAAGTTTCTGTAGCCCCTCCGGATGCCCTGCCATTCCCTGGCCTTCCTAAATCTTTGCCACTGCCCCCACCCCACCGTCATTGTGCAGTTGTAGCCACGAAGGCTACGCTAGTTACCTCAGCCGCACGAAAATACAACCTGCCATCCCCCGCTGCTCACATGCAGCCCAAGCTGCTTCCCCCACTGGTGTAATGCAGCAGTACCCAAAAACCAAAGCGGTGCGAAGGGCATCCTTCCTTCCAGTATTGTGCTACCATTCACATCTGCCGCTCAGCATCTCCTTATCCGCAATCTGCTTGATGCTTGTCACAGTAGCCCCAGTTCAGCGAGCGTTCATGGTGTGCTGTTCAACTATGATGTTTGCTTAGCTCACCTTCTACGCAGATTCACGTTTGCGTCAGTACGTATGCCTACACTGCTCACCGTTCAACAAAACAACTCGTTTCTGCTCTTGTGCTCCACGCCCAGGTTTGGATAGCTGCTCGCATCCGTGTTTGCCTCAACTCATTCCCGCGGTGCCTTGTACGTTCCCCTCAACAATTTCTCAACTCTCTTCGCCCTCTTCTCGCAGCGTTTCACTTTTGACTATGACAGTTACATGAAATATTCAGCTCCCTACAAGCGCCTCGTGGTTTGGCTAGGCGCCCACTCGTGGCGCACAACATGGCGTGCCAAGACACTGACTTCTTCACTCTCCTTCTTCCGGAGGCAGACAGACACCTGGCATATATGCGCACTTCCTGAAGTGGAAATTATGCGTCGTGCCACAGCAGCCGCAATACAATGCACGCTACCATCTGCGCCAAACGCACGTCTCGTAGGTCGTAACCTGCCTCATGGCAACTAAGCTTTCTGCTGAGCGTTTTGACGGTGTCAACTGATCTATCGCCAACGCAAACACCCAAGCGTGCAAAGCCACACCCTACCACCGAATTCAATATCTTGCACACACGCCATTCGCAAGCCCCGCAGGCAGCGCTACACTTTCGACTCAGACAGTCACACCAAGTATACTGCGCAACGCACGCTCTTCGTGGCTTGGCTACGCGCCAACTCGCTGCACATAACATGGCGCGCCCAGACACTGGCTTCTCCACTCTCCTTCCCCACGCTCACGGATGGCATATATGCGCACTTTGTGGAGGGAAAACGATGTATGCTGCTGCAGCCGACGCAATCCAATACACGCTACCACGTGCGCCAAACGTAAGGCTCGCATGTCATTAATTGTTACTCGGCAACTAAGCTTTGTGCGCAATCCAATGCACGTTACCACTCACTCCAAGTCCACGTCTGGTAGGTCGTAGGTTGCCTCGTGGCGACCAAGCTTTGTGTTCAGCGTTTTGGCCGTGCCAACTGAACTATCGCCAGCGTAAACAGCCAAGCGTGCAAAGGCGCATCCTACAAACAGATTCAATATATTGCACACACGAGTTACTAAAAAACCGCATGCAGTATTACGCTTTCGACTCAGACAGCCACACCAAGTATTCACCGCAACGCACGTGCCTCGTAGTCTGAATAGGCGCCAACGCCCGACACACAACATGGGGTGCCCCGACACTGACTTCTGCAACCTTATTCTTCCGTACGCTGACGCATGCCATATTTGCGCACCTTCTGAAGGGGAAACGATCCGTCCTCCTAAAGAAGTCGCAATCCAATGCATGCTACTACTCACTCCAAATCCACGTCTGGTGGGTAGTACGTTGCCTCGTGGCGACTAAGTTTTGTGTTCAGCGTTTTGGCGGTGCCAACTGAACTATCGCCAACGTAAACAGGCAAGAGTGCAAAGCCGCACCCTACCACCAGATTCAATAAGGTGCATGCACAATTTGCTAAAAACCCGCATGCTGTATTACGCCTTCGACTCTGCCAGTCACACCAAGTATTCACCGCAACGCACGCGCCTCGTAGTCTGCTAGGCGCCAACCCTAGACACACAACATGGGGTGCCTCGACACTGGTTTGTGCAATTCCGTTCGTCTCCACTCTGAGGCATGGCGTATATGCTCACTTTCTGGAGGGGACAAGGCGTGTCCTGCTACACAAATCGCAATCCAATACACGCTACCACTTGCTCCGAGCGCAACGCTGGAATATCGTTAGCTTTTTCTCCGCAACTAATCTTGTGCTGAGCGTTTTGGCGGTGCCAACTGAATTATTGCCAACGTCGGCAAGCAAGCGTGCAGAAGCGCACCCTAGCAACACATTAATATCTTGCATACACCAGCTACGAAAACACCGCATGCACCGCTACAGCTTCGACTCAAACAGTCACACGAAGTATTCACCGCAACGCACGCGTCTCTTCGTTTGGCTAGGCGCCAACCCGAGACATACAACGTGGCGCGCCCCGACACTGACTTCTCCACTCTCCCCCCCCGCTGATACATCACATATATGCGCACCTTCTGAAGAGGAAACGATCCGTCCTCCTGCAGCCGTCGCGATCCAGTAACGCTACCACTCACTCCATATCCACGTCTGGTAGGTCGCAGGTTGCCTAGTGGTGACTAAGCTTTGTGTTCAGCGTTTTGGCGGTGCCAACTGAACTATCGCCAACGTAAACAGCCAAGAGTGCAACGACGCATCCTACAAACAGATTCAATATGGTGCATGCACAAGTT